GGAAATGTGTTATATTATTCAATTATTAAATCATTTTAAATGTGTCCAAGATTATTGTAGATGTTTCATTTTCATTCAAAACTTTATGGAAAGCTAAAAGTTTGCTTGCAGAAAAAAAAATCATTCTTTGGCAGTTTACGTCTGAGACGTTGGAAAAATTGTATCTCAAAACAACTCATTTCATATGAATGTGAGACACCACCCAAAGTGCTCCTCCTCATTCTTTCACTCTTTGTTTCTTTTTTTAGATATCTATATAAATATAAATAAAACAATATTGAATATATTTTAAAGTCATTATTTTCTGACGGAACTACTTTACGTAACAGCAATTTGAGCTAAGGTGCTTCAAAAACGATATAATTTATACATTTTATCATGTTAAACATTAACACACTTAAAATATTGCTCTTGTCTCCTCTGGTGAGTCATGCCTTCTGCCATCCTTCTTTCACATACTAGGATATTGATGTAAATACGACATGTTTTTTGTTGCTATGGGTGCAAAAGGACATGTGAGAGTGGAAAGAAGAACATGGAGGACTTAATTTTATCTAAGTAACAACAGCCTTAAGCAATACTTCTCTGTATGCTGTGGCCTAACGGCTAATGCTGACCTGTGTTTCACCCTTGACATCTTCTTTCTCAGAAGCCTACTAATTGAATGCAGAAGACGGTGTACTGTGGGGCAAACCTGGATGTCTTGGCAACATGTGGAAGGTTGCCCATAGTTCATTGTTGATATCCAAACACCAGGGCACATATCCAAATATCTAGTGGTAAATTGCCAAATGGTGTCATTAGAGCCAGCATCTTAGCATCTTATCAGACAACTTAAGAAAATGAGTGCTTTACCATATTCCCGAGCAACAGCTGGTGTATGCTCATAGACAGAGCAGTGGAGCCTCAGTAACTCAAGAAACACAGATGACAGATGGGACTAGAGGTGTCATCAACACCCTTAGCTTCAAATGGTTCTCCCTAGAGCATGTGTGGAGACTAAACTCTGCTTGGACATTTGATACTTACAACTTGCAGTTATGCAATAACACTGATGCATGCTCATCGGCTTTCTCAAGGAAACTCAGTTACTTGGGCACACCCTGCATACATTAGTAAGCCATTTCCACAGTACGCAAGCTAAAATTAGAAAAGCAAAAATGTCTTAATAAATGTGTGTTGTGCACAAGAAGGATGACTTAAATTGAAGAGCTCCTTAACGTGATTATCAAAGAAAAGCATGGTTATTACAATGATTTCAGTAAAATGAAAGAACTCGTTCATCTTTGCCAATACAAGGATGAGAAAGAGCGCAGCATTAATTGCTGGATACATGCTTTCCTTGTGTCTAGACCGGGTTGCTTTGTTTCTTTTCCTTTTTCCCTTTGCTCAAGTGTCCTCCTCTCCTGTTCACCTTTTTACTGATTGCAGTCTGTGTAAGCTTGCTGTGCCCTTCGCCTTTATGCGTTGTCAGTTTATAAAAAGTGAAATCTCTCCTCTTGAATTTCAATTGAGAGGCTTCAAAGTGTGCTGCTTGATGGTCGAGGACGTCATCAAACAAGCTGGGTGCTTCAGCGCTATGGGCCTCAGAGGACTCTCAGCTACACAAAGCTGACCAGCTGATCACACCTAACAAAATCCCAACCGCCCCATGGTTCTACGCCATTTGAAGTTAAGACTTTAGACCTCATTTTTATTGACTTCTCTGCCAGTCATACTGCTAAACAAGTCCATAACATCCTGAGGGCAAATTTTTATTTTTGCTGTGAAGTTCCCCAAGTCGATATTACCTGTTCTGACTCAGAGCTTCATCAATCCTTTTTAATATTTTAGATTTGCACTGTGTGTCTCTGACATACTCTTTTTGGAGCCAGAGATTTACAAATGGTGGTGGATTAACACTTTGGCTTTGTCACGGTGCAACGTGACATCTCAGCTTTTTTATTTTCACCCAAAACCAAAAAGTACAGTTCCTACTTTGTAAAAAGGCCCTTTTGGCATTACACACGACTATTGTGTTCAGCCAGAATTCAGCAGAGCATGTGAGCTGTTTATTAGGTTATGTTTCATGAGCAATATCCAGTGCCCCTACAGATGGATGAGTGGACAGTTATTTCCATACATTTTACATGCACACTGAGTTTGTGCCACAGAGACTAGACATAAAGGTGCATTTTAATTCACTACAGAAGACTAATGTAATTTTTCTGGTTTTTAAACATAATTACATGATTTCTATTCAGGCTGCAAGCTCCTTTCTCAAAATCCTCTTTTAGTCTGACTGAAAGGAACCTTGTAGTTTGTACAAAATTAATTTGAAATGTCGGCACAGCAGGAGGTTATCAACCAGATTGCTGAGTACCTCAATTACAGCGGAGGGAAAGTGACGCTTAGGAGTTAATTCAGTTACAAATTTTAAACATTATTTTTAACAGAACATTTTTGTAGAGAGAACATTACATGCAGAGAAATATAAACGAGGCTACTTATCACTATAAATGTGAGACCTGTAGCTATCAGGTTTTTCCTTTGCAAGCCCTGCTGCAGTCACATGTAAAGACACAAGTATGTGACAAGAACATTGCTGCTATTATGATGTCATGGTCTACGTCTGCCCCGTCCTTCATGTGTCTCCTGATGTTTCTCCATCCTCTCTAGATTCCCTTCTGTGTCTCATAGCGCCCTCATGTGTCCTTTGTCTGCCCTCATGTGTCCTTTGTCTGCGTCTCTATTATGTGTCTTAATGTTGTTACCCTTTTAAATCATTCCTTCCAGGTCAGCTCCAGCCTCTTTGTCACGAGCTCAGTGTATGTGTGTGTGAGTGTACGTGTGTGTGTTTGTGTATGTGTGTGTGTCCTCCCCAACTCAGTGTAAGTGTGTGTGTGTGTGTGTGTCCTCCCCAACTTAGTGTATAAGTGTGTGTGTGTGTGTGTGTGTGTGTGTGTGTGTGTGTGTGTCCTCCTCCAGCTAGTTTGTGTTAGCCCTTCCCTCTGTCTTAGATATTGTTGTTTAGTTTTGTGTTTAGGTATTTACCCTCCTCTGTTTCTGTTTTCCCAGTTAGATTATTAGATTCACCTGTCTTCCCTCCAGCCCTCACTCCACACACCTGCTGCCATTTTCCCTAATTACTCCTCCCTGTTGTATATAAGCCCTGTCTTGTCTCTGTCTTGTGTCGGCCTATTGTTTGTAATTCTGTCAGTCTCGCCTCTCTTGGATTATTAGAGTTTTTTGGTCTTCTCGAGTTCTCTAAGATTTTTGGATTTCCAGATCGTTCTCTGGTTTTTGGATTTTGGCTCCCAGCCTTGGATTGACTTTGTTTTTGGCTCACCTTTAAATAAAGGATTTTACTTAATCTTCATCCCTGCCTCGTGTCATCCTGGGTACTGCATTTTGGGTCTTACCATTTCCGTACGTGACAGATGATGATCACGACGCCAATGATTAAGATGATAATAATGATGATGATGATGCTAACGATGATGATGATGATGGTGAAGACAGCGATGATGATGATGATGATGTCGACAACTATGTTGATGGTGATGATGATGATGATGATGGTGACGATGATGATGAAGATGATTATGATGATGATGATGATAATGATGACGATGGAGATAACGAAGATTAATAAGTTGATGGTGTAATGATGATGACGGTGGTGGTGGTGGTTGTGGTGATGATGATGATGGGTCAGTAATGTCATGAAGGATTAATTTTATATCAGTGTGAGTAGACTTGTGAAAAATGGGGAAAAACAGGGTACTGAGAATATTAACAGTACTGGACACACCAGAGGCAGACGGGCCGCACCGTCATTTTAAGTAGAAGCCATTATTGTTAATGAGAGGTGGTACACGACGGCAGCGCCGCGGCTGTTTACAACATTGTGGAGTACTTTACAACAGATATTACAATGCAGAACGACTTTAAAGCACAAACCCAACCGCAGTTTTAAAAACTTTAAAATACTATTTGTCTTCAAATATTCTAATACATAGCGTACTTACCCTTTTTAATTAATTTATTTAATAATTTTAATGAATGAATGATGGCAAGTCTGATCAGTCACTTCCCACTTCCTGTTCTCAAGTCCTACTTGATGTTGTGACTATCGCGTGACTTTCCAAGTGCTCAGCGGCGCATGCTGTGTGACCACTTGACTTCTCAAAATCACGGGCGCGACGCCCAGGCTTTACAGGTGAGGTCTTGCTCCTGAACTCAAAACGAAAGAAAATTCTGTGATTAAAATAAAATCATATATTTCCAGCTAAAGTAAATGAATTATTATTATTATTATTATTATTATTATTATTATTATTATTAACAATAATAATAATAATAATAGCAATTAGTTGGTTTTTGAACGTTTCATCATTTGTTGTTGAATGATCAAGATTTGACCTTCTAAAAAAGCTAATAACCCAAATGTAAACTATTTGTTCATGGTTATTACTTTTAATAATGTCTTTTTGGTTCTTCCTGTCCTGATCCATGTTTTTTCCAAACATCTTTACGTTTAGATCGGTATTGCTAACAAACAGCAGGAATCAAAAGTAAAAATAATCAGCTTCACCTCACCTGACTCTGCTCTTCTGATCTGATCTGCATTCAAAGTGGCGGTCATAAACATCATAAAAAAACTGCATAAACATCTAGTCCTTACAAATAATGCATTTTTATCCACTGTTGCTGTGATTGTTTACATTTAAACTGACATTAAATGCTAAGTAAAGTCCTGGCTGATGGCAGCATAACAATCAAACATCCATTCCCTGTGGAAGTAATTTGTTTTTCAGTGGCATTTGGACTGTCCTTTGGTCCATTAGCTTTACCGCATTTTAAAAGCCTCACTTCAGTAAACTCAGATTAAATGTGCTCATTAGCACAGCATTCCTGACAAAGGACATTATCAAAATAACTGGCTGCTCAAATGCCAAGGTAGGCTGAGACACAAACCATCTACACACACTGTGTCCACATTTCATTTTTGTCATTAGATGGTGGTTCTGATGGACCCCATGGAGGATCCAGATGACATCCTGCGTGCCCATCGGTCCAGGGAGAAGACCTACCTGTTTGACGTGGCTTTCGACTTCTCCGCCAGTCAGGTCAGTCAGAAATGAAGGCTCAAACAAGTCTAGCTGAGAAAAGTTTTAACGTCCTTTCATGTTTATTTTTCCCACATGCTGTTTTCACAGGAAGAGGTGTACCGAGCTACAACCAAAGGACTCATTGAAGGCCTTATATCAGGCTACAATGCCACTGTGTTTGCATATGGACCCACAGGTGCATATGTTTGTATGTGTGTATGTGTGCATGTGTGTGTACATGACTTGGTGCTCTGAGTCATCAGAGGTATGTCATCCACCAGTTATACGTGTTTTCACCCCAACCCACAATCTGAGGTCTGTATGAGTCAGTCAGCTCCCTTTAAGAAAGGTGATGAGAAATTCTACCTAGATATGTTTTTAGGCAAATGTATGATGACAACATGAGTCACATTTTGTTGCTGGTTATTCAGCTGCATTTGAAGTGGGTGACTGTCAGAGGCTAGTGCCTCTGACAGTCACCCACCCAGAGACAGCAGGCAGTGCATCAAATTACCGGCCTCTGTGTCATCTACCTCCTTGTTGTCCATCTGTTTCAGAGATTAACAGCTTTTGATCTTCTTTTGTGAATGCAGACAAAGCAGTTGTAGTAGGGGGGTTGGGGTGTAGGATTTGGGTGTAGCAGTATCCTGATCTGCCAAGGATGCCAAGCATAGATTATTACTGCTACTACTCCACACTAAGCAGCCTACAGTGAACAATGTTATCTGTTTTAACATTTGCTCCATTTTGATTTACACAGTTCTTTCAATGCTAGAATAACACGTTTGATATTTTATAAACAGCAGTGATTCAGTTTTGTTTCCATTGGCACAAAGTTTGTAGATTATTTAAGTTTTGGGAGGAAAACCAGCATTCACATTTGTTTGGAATTCATTTGGTTTCCACCAACTCCTAGATGTTTTGCTTATTAGCCACATGCTGTGCTGTTTACCCTTTGGTGCACAGTTCTTCTCTAAAGTTATTTTATAATATAATGTTTTGTGTTTCAGGTTGTGGGAAGACGTATACCATGCTGGGGACCGACAAGGAACCAGGCATCTACGTCCGCACCCTGAACGACTTGTTTCGTGCCATTGAGGAGACTAGTGATGACATGCTGTACAGCATATCCATGTCCTATCTAGAGGTAAGTTTATTACCAACTACTAATCCTGTGCTCTTATTGTGAAATGACAGCATCATAAATTTAAGGTTGCGGTCTAACTCCTAGTGCTGATTGTGGGGCACACACTTTACATTTCTGAGATGATTGCTGGAGCTCAAATAAAGATTTTAGATGTTGATATTTGTTGCAGTAATCGTTACAAGAGATGAAGGCAGTTGTTGAATATATGAAAAAGCTTTCTGATTGTAATGGGTGTTTATGTTGCCATTGAACAAATTATTTTGGCTGGTTTAAAATAATTGATGTTATTGTAGATAGCTTCCTGAATGGGCACAATTTAGCCCTTTGATGCATGAATTATGAAATCTTCAGCCATGATTTTTTTAGCAATTTATTTCATTCATCTTTAGGTGTGAATGAAACAAATTTCAACAAATATTTTTCGTAAAATTTTATAATTTACAAATAATTTATTACATGTCCACCTCAGTGGATAGCGTGCATTCTGAGCATGAAATATGTTGGCTTGACTTACTGAAGTCCAAATGGAGGGGCTCAAATGCAATAAAGTCTTCAACAGCTGTGCTTAATAGCAAAAATAAATAAATAACAATTTTGAGTACCTGTCCACTGTAGTGACCATTATGCATCAAAGGGTTAGAGGTATAGAGTTAACGTGCTTCAGGATTCATGAGCCAGCAGCGAGTCCAAGTTAGTACTGCAGTTTTAAAACAGCTCCAGTCCCCTAAAATTTTAAAGGTGTAATATGTAAGAATGGAGTAAGAATGAAATATTGTGGGTACTGTCGTCTATTTTTCCAAACCAACACTTTCTCGCCCCTGTTCGTTGAGTTTTATGGCTGTTGCCAGTTACAGATCAGCAGCAGAAGAAAGCTGATATTTTATCACCACAGATAACACAAGTCTGAAGGAGTTCTGCCGTGATATGGAGTTGCTAATGCTAATTGTTAGCTTCTACTTATCGCGATATTCTGTGTTATTTGCTGGACGCCCCGTCACGATGGGTGAGTCCATTAGTATTACATAACAATGTGACGTAGATCTGTCAGGAGTTTAAAATTCTAGAGTTTCACCTCTGAGAAATATTAAAGCACCTTGTTGGATCTGTGACATGAAGAACTAAAGCACTTGTGAAGGCAAAAGCAGGTTCAGTTTAAAGCAAGGTGTGCTAAGTAACGTGGGTCGGTGAGCAAATGGAGAAATAAAAATGGACAATCTGTTATGAAAATGGAACGCCAACAAAAAAGGAAGTGAATGTATATTTCTGGCTTCAGACCACCTCTAGCAGAATTTAACCTAGCAAAAAACAGACATTCAGCAGTGTTAGTCTGTTCACTTTTACATCTTTGTCCTTTAGTTTTGGTAGTTTTTTACATTAAAATTTATGATGATTTGCAGTCACAGATACAAGAGAGGCTAAATGTAGCACCTGGATCCACCACCATCAGGATAAGTCCAGCAGGAATTTACTAATGATTCTTCCAGATATAACGTTGTACCACACAAGGACTCAACAGGCAAGGGCACGGCAGCTTTTTTTGCATAGTACATTTCATAGAAGCAATTCAATGAGCTTTCCAGGAGCAGGAACATAAAACAGTAAAATCAATGTGACAGCATAACAACAGGTTTTAACATCACATTTAAATACACACATAAAAGTAGATCACATTTAAATACACAAATACACTTTGATGTAAGAATAAGATAAAAAGGCAAAGTTAAAGGGTGAGCAGTTACAGTGAAGCCTAAGAAATCATTCAAAGGCTGATGAAAACGTGAATTTTTCTATTTTAATTTAAAAGTTTCTAGAGTCTGCCACAGTTGAGGTCATGAGGAAGCTGATTCCATCTGTGTGTAGCATAGTAGCTAAAAGCAGCTTCACCCTGATTGGTTCTGACCTGAGGTTCTACCAGCTGACTGTTTCCTAAGGATCTCAGAGCCCCGCTGGGCATATATACAGGAAGGAGATCCGACATGTAGTCTGGCCCCATGCCATTGGGTGTTTATAAACTAGTAGAAGTACTTTGAAACAAATTCTGTAGTTTACTGGTAAGCAGTGTAGAGATTAAAGAACACTTTGTTCTAAGTGTTTAGACTAGAGATTTACTCATCAGACCTGAAGGACTTAACTCTGTTTCTCCAAATGCGACCTTTTAGGTAAACAATTAAATAACAATTATTTTGAAGGTTCACACAGATACACTGTTTCAATTTGCTGAAATATAATTTAATGCTATTGCTTTATTGACTTATTAGCAATGTTTTCGACTACGCTTGTCGAAATTGTACTTTCTAACAATATTTTGTGGCTCCGAAGTTTGGGATTGATTCATCTAGTCTGGTGGCACCAAACTTTCTTCTTTGTTTTTTTTTATGACCTGCTGAATTACAATGGCAGGAACTCACAGCCAGTGCTTCCTCTATAAAAGAAACTATATCGGAATGCAAATAGTCATGTGAGACCAGAGTTTTGAGCCCATCACTCAGTGTGAGGCCATCACTGATACTGGATAGCATACACGTGACAGTGGGAGTCATGATTAGCTGAGTTTTTGACACATAACCTATTGTGACCCCACTGTCAAAGTTAACACAAACTCCTTTCAACACCGGTAGTTTTTCTCCCTGTTTTGAGCTATTCTACTAATTCACAAAGCCTTTTCATATGAACATCACTGGTGTCTTCTGCTATCTAAATTCACATTGACAGAAGAGTAATCCTGATAAACTTCACAAAACACCACACAAAGTGCATTGCATTGCTTATGAAGGTAAGTAGTAAGTAAATGGTATTTATATAGCGTTTATCACAGACATAGAATCACAAAGTGCTTGACATAGATCAAAACAAAATAAAACAAAGTCATGAAATCATAATGATCTCAAAAAAGAAGGTGATTTTGCTGCAGAGTGCTCTCACATGAAACCTGCTTTCATCTGGTTGGGTGAGCAAATAGATCTTCCTTTGCCTGTGGATGATTAGCCACAGAGGTAACTGCATGCTGATGATGTTCATTTCTCTGTTTGCCTGCTGGCCCTGGTTCTACACCTCATTAAATACGAGCAGTGACAGCCTCAGTGAGCTTAGCTGCCTTAACAGCAGCAGACACAAAGAAGACGGCACGTATCTGCGCTTTCGTGACTACATCATTTGAAGTTTACTTGTACCATTCAAAGTATGGCAATTGCAATCTTGGGTTAAAAACATAATTCTTGAGAAAACTCTGAAACTTTATTAGAAGGTCTTTCGTCTAACTCTCTTTGTAGAGAGAAGAGTAAAGAAGTCTCAGGTTTACTTTAATTTATTCTAGCTGTCAAGAAGAAGTATAAGATGAGTGAAAAGTGGAGAAAACTTGTAGAAAAAGAAATGTGACATGCAGAATGACTTGTAGAGTTAAAATGAAAAGAACTGTCAGCCTTCTACATGAAAGTAAAATAAGCACTTGTTGGGCCTGGCGCGAATCCAGGGCCTTGCATCTGACATCAAAATTATGCCTTTTGTTTCCACGGCCAAACGTTGTCATTATGCACACTGAGTGACAATATTATTGCAGTGTAGCTCTCTAGTTTTAGAGTGGGTGGAAGCTGAATTCTTGTCTATCAAAAATGTCAGACGCAAAATCTGGATGTTGTCTGACTTGCGTAAATGTTATCACGACTGCGTGTGTGACGTGTGTGTTTGCTGTTTCTAGGGAGCAACCTGTTATCGCTGGCACCTCAGCACAAACAGGTCAAATGCCATTTTACTGCTGCATTGAGTGAAGTGCACACATCTGTTCCTTTTCTTATCCAGATCCCATTTTCTTTCATGTGCAATGGCTACAACTCGAGCACAGGAGCACACAAATGTGTTAGAAGACAAATTCTGTTTGACTTCACTGTTCAAGTGCTCCTTTCCTCTGGCTTTTATGAGCTTTGTCACCTTTAGAAACCTTCTGTCTCACAATAGTGGAACTCAAGGGATAACATCTTTGTTTTAAAGGAAAAGCCATAAAAATTTCTTCCAGATCAAAGACTCTCAGAGGAACAACCGTAACACGTTTTGATGAATCCTTCATTTTTTAGCACAACCATGCGGTTTGTGGTCCAAACATGTTTAGCCAGTCTGTATTGCTGAATGATTAGCTGCCTGCATGACAGCTAATCCCTGTTCAAACCTCACCATCTCCAACAAGAAAGCCCAGGTGGGAAATAAATAACAGAACAAACATCACACTGTCAGAGAGAGAGTAACAGCATCCTTTTGTTGGTGATGTTGTCCAGGGTTAGCTTGGCAGTGTAGACTGCTGGCAGATTGTCATCCCATAGTAATTTTCCAGGATGTCTCTTTCTCCTATTTGCTTTTTTTATGGCTAGAAGGCCTACACTTAGGCCATAACTGTTAGTCCAGTCACATCATTTTAGGTTTTAGAAGTTGAGAGCCCTGGAACTGATTGGATGACAGCTTACCAGGGAGTTAGTTTCTTAAAAAACTGGTCATGATGTAGTGTTATATGTACAGTATGTAGGTGTGTACCAGTTGCCATGCCTGGGAAGAAACACATTTATCCAGTTGCCAGTCTAATAAAATGACTTCCAGATCACATTTGAACTTTTTTCCTCTGGTTTGTATTTCCACAGATCTATAATGAGATGATCCGTGACTTGCTGAACCCATCCTCGGGCTTCCTAGACCTAAGAGAAGATTCTAAGGGTGTGATTCAAGTGGCTGGCATCACAGAGGTGTCCACTATAAATGCCCAAGAGGTGAGAGGTTCCCTAAAACCATCGCTGGATGGTTCAGTTGATTTCTTCAAACTGTTAAAGAAACTGCATTCACATCTGAGAGCTCTACGTGTGTTTTCAGATCATGGAATTGCTAATGAAGGGCAACAAGCAGCGCACGCAGGAGCCAACAGCTGCTAATCAGACATCGTCTCGTTCCCACGCTGTGCTGCAGGTGGCTGTCAAGCAGCAGAGCCGCTGTCGTGACGTCCTGCAGGAGGTTCGCTTTGCTCGCCTTTTCATGATCGACCTTGCCGGCTCAGAAAGAGCCGCACAGGTTAGTGTGTGTTGTCGCTGGCGTAATCCATGGTATTGCAGCAGCTTTGGATTGCTTTGATTCTAGTGATAAGTCTTCAATTCTCAAAAAATTGTTCAGTCATCATTTCATGTTGCTGCCGATCTGGCCGATTGATGTAAACTCTGCACTTGTCTCTGGATCAAACCTTAGACCTCTGGCATCCCAAATGATGCATCCCAGTTTGAAACAACCAAGCTTTTTGTTCTGTAAAGTTTCCATGCAAGTTCTGATATAAGTCTTTATACTTGATTGTTTCCATATGGCATGTTAATAACTTTGAAGGTGCCTGCCAGCTGGGGCATGAGATTGAATGGTGCAGAAGAACTCTACAGTATTCTGCTGTGCATTTATGAACCAGATAGGAGTGTTATCATTTATACTATGATTCACCATGCCATGCATTTATTCCCTATGTATTTCAAGAAAAGTTCCCTGATCAAAATTTTACTCAATTTGTAATGAAAGACTAAATAAGGAACCCAAATCAAAGGATATGGGAGTTAGTGCATGGCATGGCAAAGCACTAGCCTGGTGGGCCATGCAATAACTCCCTATGTATTTGAGTGCAGGCCCCCTAATGAGGAGATGGTGAGGCAGTATCATGTTGGAATGAAACAGATGATTGGTGTGTGATTGTGTCAGATTACCATAAAGTTATGTACTAGTTTCTTAGCTTAAATAAGTCACACTTCATTTATTATTTGGCACATGTGACCTTTTCTTGAAATGAATTGGAACAGAGCGCTATTTGTCACATGAGACCACGAAGACCAGTTTCTCCAAAAAGCCTGATTTAGTGGATCATAGTTAGTTTGAATTTGAATTTATTTATTTAAATGGGACAATTCATATTAATGAACGTACAAGACATAAATATACCAGAATTAGCAAAAAGCTAGTTTCAATCTGTAGTTCCATGTACATAAAGCACAGACATTACAATTTAAAACAAGGTAAAAACATACAGAATAAAAATTAAAAACAAGGATAGCTAAAATATGTGAACAACATAACTCCTTACATTCCCCATACGTGCTAAAAAATAATCTAATTCAGACATGAGGCAAATCATTAGATTCCAAGGATAAAACGACAGCAAGGAGTTAACGCCATCTATTGGCTAATCTGAGACACCTAGCTGAGAGCTTAAGTGCACATGGTTGGCTTTTTTGTTGATGATCCAGAAAACATGTCATTCTTGCAGAAGCTTTATCTCAGCATGGAAGAACTCTTTTCAAAGCTAGAACCATAAAATAAAAAGTTCACAGAAATCTCTCGAAGAAAGGAAAGAAGTGACTTTATCCTTTGACATTTTCTCTCCAAGGCATTAACCGTGTTACTGAAATGTGCTTGGTGCACGCCGGGTTTCTTACTTGTACGTTACTCCCCCATCTTTCTCCAGTCCATTTACTGTGAGCTCTCTTTGTGTCTGCCCTCTCAGGGACAAAGCATTAGAAAGTACTTGAGTTCAGAGGTTTTCTCTCATCGATCTCTGCTTTTTTCAGACTCAGAACAGAGGTCAGCGGCTGAAAGAGGGAGCTCACATCAACCGCTCGCTTCTGGCTTTGGGAAACTGCATTAATGCCCTGAGTGACAAAAACGGCACCAAGTACGTCAACTATCGAGACAGCAAGCTGACTCGTCTTCTGAAGGTACAGCAATTAAAAAGACATGTTGTTCTTTGTGTGTGTATATATTTCAAATGGTTTATCTCTGTCTCATTGTTTGATTTTAGGACTCTTTGGGCGGAAACAGCCGAACAGTAATGATCGCCCATATTAGCCCCGCCTTCATGGCTTTTGAAGAGTCTCGAAACACGCTGACATATGCTGATCGTGCCAAAAGCATTCGAACACGGGTAAACTTGAACATAAATTTCACTGCACTGAATTTCCATTTATCAGAGGCTGTGTTCCCTCTAGGTGTTGGTAGGTGGTCAAACATTTACCTCTGTGCAAAGTAATCAAGGTCTGATCACTGTTGGCTTTAGGTGAAGAAGAACTTGATAAATGTGTCATACCACATTGCTCAGTACACCAACATCATCTCTGACCTCCGCTGTGAGATCCAGAGGCTCAAAAAGAAGATTGCAGAACAGTCGAGCCGCCAGCTCAGTTCCGACAGAGCGGACATCCGCAACATTCAGGGTAAATTTACTTTTTCACAAAATCAAAAATATGAAGCTGTATAGCAAAACCTGCGAATAACTGTTATTTTAATGTATCTACTTAAAGAGCAAGTCACCCCCAAATCAACTTTTTTCTGATAAACTATATAAATGTGTGTCTAATCGTGCTGCAAACACGTATAGCTAATAGTTTTGTACTTTAGTGCATTTTAGTTAAAATTGTAATTTTCTGCCTAAAACTGCCAGTGTTGTGTCGTTGTCAGGTAAAAACTCTGCACTGCATTAGAATTTAAATCTGCCACCGCTATTGGCTAAGAGGTATGCTATGATGTAAACTGGTCCTTATGATGTCACAATGCCGTTGTGAGCCTGTGTGTGTATGTGTATTTGTTAGCGGCTCCGCCCTCTAGGTCTGCTAGGCAACAGCATTTGTTGCATTTTTTAAAACATGAAGAGGGAGTGAAGTAAGTTTCTTGTAGGGGGTGACTTGCTCTTTAATTCTCTTAAAGCAGAGCTTCACCGATAAAACATTCTTGATGTAGTCTTCTACCCCTGATCCTGTATTAGCTTCCGACAGAAAATAGACAGGGAAACACTCAGGTCAGAAAAAGCCACACAGCCTTACGTCACACTGTAAAATTATCATTCGTGGATCCACCCATCTTGGCTTGGATCATGAAAAGCTGTGTTGATTTAGCAGCCAGGAGAGAGCAGAGCACATCTAAGCTAGTAGAAGCTGACCATTAGCATTTGTCTCTCTACAACATGGCAGAACACGTTCAGGCTCATGTTATTTGTGGAGATAAAACATCAATGTTGTATTTTTTACTAAAGAAACTGTTAGAGGCGAGATGTTGGCGTTTGATAAAAAATAATGAGTAACAGACTAAATCCCCAGCTCCTCCTGCTAACTTCTACTTCTTGAAACACAAGCGCAAGAGCTTTTTTTCTACAGAAAAGGTCTCACAAGTCATTTATTCATACTTTAAGCCACAGCAAAAGTACTAACTGCATGCCTTCTTTAATGCAGCGGAGGTCCAGGCCCACTCCAGCCAGCAGGGCCGAGCAGAAATGGACCAGCTGAGGGAGCAGCTCCTGGATGCATTCCGCCAGCAGATGGAGATAAGGAAGACTCTCATCGAGCTGGAGAACAACAACATGGAGATCCAGATTGACACATCAAAGCATCTTGTAACCATCACAGAGTCAGTATTTTAGATTTGTCTGGTAGCACATTCCTATGCTACACATAGAATTGAATACCACTCAGTGAGCGTTAAAGCAGTCCAATGAGATGGGGAAAAAATGGCTAAAATTTGGCTTCCAGCATGTGCCGACCATCCTGAATTTTTCCTTGGAGCATTTCATAGTTTTGTCCCAACCTTGATCTCATTTAAACATCAATCAAATCGTACTGGATTCTATTAATAGTCAGTAATGGGACAGAGCTAATTACCAGTTCTGTAGACTAAACAATGTCAGTAAAAACAATTCTTTGTTTTTGCTGTAGTTGGGAGCAGGAGCAGAGTAGGCGCAGGAAGAAGTGGCGTGGAGAAAGGAGGAAGGAAAGTGTCAATAAGGATGAAAGTGAGAAGGATTCCGATTCTCCAGAGTCTCTCCCAGACAGCATCGAGACCCAGGATGTGGCAGTGGCTCGGGAAAACCTGGTCACCCTCATGGCTGAACAGAAGAAGATTCAGAAACAGAAAGTAAGATTGTGTGCCGACTTCTTTGATATATTTTTCTGGCAGTTCAGTGTAATCCTAGATTAATTTGTCACTGTCGTCCTTTAAGGGTTTGCTCGAGCGCAGGTTTCTGGAGCTCCGGGATCGAGCCCGGCGCCTGGAGGAACTGCTTCCTCGGCGGGTGAGCTCAGAGGAGCAGCGTGAGGTCCTCGGACTCCTCTGCAAGGTCCATGAGCTTGAGATCGAAAATGCAGAGATGCAGTCCCACGCGCTGATCAAAGACAATGTTATCCGGCAGAAAAACTGTGTTGTGCAGCGCTTTGAGCAGCACAGACATTTGTGTGATGAGATCATTCAGCAGCAGAGACAGTTCATCGATGGTGAGTATGTTTAAGTGGTCCTCTGAGGTGGAGCATTTCTGAATTCTGTACTCCTGCATGTTCCAGACAACAGTCTGCTGGTGCCGCCGCACCTCCAGGAGCTGTATAATGTCTACACGAGGGAGCTGGATGAGAGGAAACTCGAGAGAGCTATGGCCCTGGACAAGTTGCCCACCAGAAACACCATCAAGGTATCTGATTATTTAAAAACACAATTCTTAATATACTACCTTTAAAATAAAACAGACAGGAGAGATTACTTCAGTGCTGTCAATTCCAGGAGGGCTCTTTACCCAGGATCACTCTACCAGGGCATGGCCGGGATTACATACAGGACGTGGACTCAGACCAGGAGAGCGTACGCAACTTGTGCTCAGATAGCAGACGAGGTCAAGTCAAGATGCGAAGGCACACGTTGCCTCCCATTCTGCCCGAGTCAGACCTGTGAGGACATACTTTCCTCATGTTTTTCTACCCACACCACATTTTTATGATGCTGAACAGAGCTTTTAAAACCTGATGTCCCTCTCAGCGACAGAGTTTTCAAGAGCAGCCCTCATGCCAAGCAGATCAAAAGCTCGGCTGTGATGACCCCACCTCCGATCCACATCAACGGGAAGGGCAACAGAGAGGTAAGGATGGTTTTAGGAGGCACTGATTGCATCTGCAGGTGTTCACTCTAGGAGTAACACGGATTTTAGAAAGTTTGGAGTTACTAAAATCTGTGTCTGCCTCTAGTCTCTGCAGCTGCAGCCTCTGGCTCCTGAAAGCTTCACGAGCTACGGCCACCTCAGCCACAGCATCAGCAGCCACCTGGACTCCTCACCTGAGAGCAGCGAGGCTGGCGCTGACGTCCCTCTTTCACGAAACGGTAAATTGCTTCTTCAAGTCAGAGAATCCTCAGAGAGCTTCAAAAGTCACACAGGTATTGAACAGTGCTTCTGATTTTTCTATTTGGGTAAAAATGTAAGATATATATATATATATATATATATATATATATATATATATATATATATATATATATATATATATATATATATATATATATGTGTGTGTGTGTGTGTGTGTTTCCTTGAGTAAGTGTATTTAAAAGCTGTTTTTGTGCTTGGAGCATTTCTCCCACCTCGTTCTTTAAAAAGATCTATGACACTATTGAAGCATGCTGTGTGTGTTAAGCAACGCCGCTGTGAATGAAATTGAAAAACTGAGATGAAAATATATTAACTGTGTTTATTGGAATCTATTTTTGTGAATACGAGGGTAGGTTTGCTCAGAAGCTGCTCTTAAGTTATAAATAAATCTGTGGCTGTGTCAGATCTAAAAGGAGCATTTACCAACAAACATTTACTAACTATTGCAGCAGAAATGAGCATGTTTAAAAAAATCTGTTATGTCTTTGTGTCCACAGAACGGCAGCAGATTCTAAAAGGAGTCCAGAACATTGTGGTGAAGGCAGCCCGCCGACGCTCCAAAGCCCTGGAGGTGGATGTCCTGCGCATACCCCAGGCCCCCTCTCCCTTGGACCCAAAGAAGCAGAAAAGCTGTCTTTCTTTGAGCGAGGCGCCCCCTAGAGGAGTGCCGCTGCGGCGCGGCAGGCAGCCCACTCCCGAGCTGAGACACGCCACCTCAGATGATAACCTGTCCAGCAGCACTGGGGAGGGCATTGGTCTTCACGCAACCTGGACACGTCCCCGTAACCGTCAGGTTGCCACCAAGACCCAAACACCCCGCGAGTTGGACTTCGAAGCTCGACGCAAGAAAAGGCGTTCTCGGTCATTTGAGGTCACTGGTCAGGCAGTGGGTGTTTTTCATTTGCAGATAAACCAGTACTGCAATCTGCCAGAGGGCTTTATTACAGAATAAAAGATCAAAGTCGACTGCTTAGATGAAGATGATTCATTGTCGTGTTTCTCTTGTAGCTGCCTCAGAGCAAAGCAGCCACAGCTCAGAGGTTTCGCCCTCTGGACAGTACATCAGACCCTCATCTCCACATTAACGGTCAGGCCACCGCGCTGCGTCCCCACTACAGAGGGATCCCCTCCCTCACCAAAGTGCGACCCCATCAGCACACTCAGCAAACAGGTAGCACTTTCTGTGGATAGATTCTGGTACTCCTCTACTTTGAATCTCATTAATGATGTTTTCTCTCCAAAGGCTCACATGCTGAGTCCTCCACATCCAGCATCAATAACATGAAGAGAGGGTCTCACCTCCGGCAGCCCCAGCCCCTCCTCTACATCACCACCACAGGCGCCGGGGCCCAGCGAACACGCAGACCCTGAGCCCAGCAGAGGATTAATAATCACCAGCTCAACTCAAAGCAGGAAACTTCGGTTCTTCTTTGACTCACAAATACGGGACAGAATGAAGAACCACTCTTGACACAGGTCTTCTCTTTGGGTAACCCTAAGTAAGTGATCCCACAGACAGGCCGTGAGACCGGTCTACAGACACCAACAACATCCTGTCTTCACTTCAGCTTGCCACGGTGCTGAATGATTGGTGTTTTTGTCAAGTCGTGATGATGTCAAGCTGACTTTGGATGCAACGGTTCTGTTTGTTGGCTGTGACTGTATTTGGGTTTTGTAACGATTTGTTGCCTGAAACTAAACGCATTAGGTAGATGTATGAGCCATAACGTCAATTTAAGGATGTGACTAAAGAGGAAAAGTACTGATTCTATGATTAAAGAGAGGAGAGAAAACACACTCATTAGTGGCATTTTCCCAATGTCACAACATCAGCTGGATAGTTTCAGATTGTGTTAATACAAAAAAGTGATATTTGTGGGAATAACATGTGTGCACTTGTGGATTCTGCATCCTGTCCCCGTTAACTCCAGGTCTCTGCCTTTTAACACCAAAAATTCACATGTTAAATGTCATGTTTGTGTAGATGAAGAGTTAAGCACCATTTCTGATTTGTGTTTTCCAGATTAGCTGGTTCCGATTTTAATTATTTATCTGTTGCCTTTTCTTTTATGAAATTGACATGGTTTTAATAATTGCTACTTTCTATTCCTTTTTGTACATTGTTTTTTTAATTTGTACGAAAATAAATTTTATTGGATTGTGTAAAGTGTCACTTATTTTCTTCTTCATTGTGCTGTGTGCAAGAACGAGAGAATGGAAAAAACAAAGGACAGGTGTGGAAGTCTGAACAAGTGGTATCACTGAACTCTCTCAGGATACTTGGATTGATATCCTTTCTGGTACTTTTGCGTTGACCCGTTGATTCAGTTGGTACTCCGAAAAACTGTTTGAAAAAAGGCAAGCACCTTCTTTATGTCTAGATTTGACTGTGAAATACAAAACGTAGAATATGAACTAAAATATATGATCAAAATAAACAACCAAGGTGATTCAATGCAACTCACAAAGTGTAAATAGATTTCACAGATGCAGAACATCTTACTGTGCAAACCCTAAAAAATGCATCACATTGCTTTTGTTTAATGAGGTGCAAGACGCAGTATGCTTAACAGAAATGTTGTAAATGAAATCTATTTTTGTAATATATGGAGTTATTATATATATATATATATATATATATATATATATGTGTGTGTGTGTGTGTGTGTGTGTGTGTGTGTGTGTGTGTGTGTGTGTCCACCAGAGGACGCACATTCACAACAACCTTTCAATGAAAATAACTTAAACACATCTGTCCAAAGGGAGGATTTACTTGTTTCATGAGATATTGTTTGCTTTATTTATTTAAGTTAGTGTGTTGTTTTGCTCGATATATAATACTATGTTTATACTGTGTCTGAACCGTAAAACATGTAATATGGGGGAAAAAGTTTCTTCATCTTATTTCTATTTAGCTGTCATACTCTTCTTTTGAAATTTAATATAATTTGTGATTGTAAAACTTAGTTTAACACGATGTTGCAGTATCACAAACAAAGTTTGGAGAAATGACTTGATATTAGCCTGTTACAGTCATGCACCGTGTTATTTATTCGTGGAAAAGTAATACAATTTAAGGCAAATATCGTATTTAAAATAATGCTGGAAACAGCTCCGTTTTAAAAACCAACAGAACCTCAAAGACTCATGCTAAACAGTGGATGTCTTCCTTTGATCTGCCTTTTTTAGCCTTGGCCAATGACAAACAATTTACTAGTTGATTGATATATCTCTCAACCAATAAGAGCCGGGGTTTCTTCTTAGGACGGTAGCTCACGTACGGCTGATTTGCAACCCGCCGAAGCAGCAGCAGAGAAGAAGGAAAAATGTCGCAGGCTTTGACTCGGACCGTTCTAGGATCAGTGTCAATTTAGGAAAAAAATACGGTGAGTGGGACACCCGTCAGTAGTTGCATCCAAAGTTAGGGCTCGTGTGCGTTTGAATTTAGTACAAAACCGATGCTACAGGTCGTAGTTTTGTCAGGGTTGTTTCATTTTTCAGACCAGATGAACAAAAACAAATATTGCTACAGTAGCGTCTGGCAGCCATGATGAATGTTTCTTCTAACGTTAGATGCGGTTTTTGCAACAGTTTACGTGGTTGTTTTCTTTAACTTCAGTCAGAGACCACGTTGGTACGATGCTAGGTTTATAGTTGTAGTAGATTCTTGTGTCCAAAATAGTGCAGAATGACACCGTGTTCATTAAATGTTTTCATTTCTAATTTGCTTTTAAAATAATTGTACTGAGTCAGACGTTTCACGGACGAGCCAAGTTCAATTGACTTTGAATATTTACTGGAAACAACTTTAAACATTTTGTATAAAGCAGCCGAATAGTGACGTGTTTACACAAACACTGTCCTAAATGGTACCACAGGCACTATAGTGCCTGAGAAGGTGTCTGATCCTGCCAGTATTCAGTTATGTAGTTGTTGTAAATTGAAAAATTCAGATTTCTAATTAATACGCTCACACAATAACTTTAATTATGGAAGTAAGTGACAATATTACTGTCAAACATACAATAATTCTTCCATCCATATACAGGTGTTGGCCATAAAATTAGAATACCATGACACAGTTGATTAATTTCAGTTGTACTATTCAGAAAGTGAAACATGTATTTTAGATTAATTCATTACAAACAGACTGATATATTTCAAATGTTTCTTTACTTAAATTGTGATGATTGTAACTGACAATAGCTAATGAAAATCCCAAATTCAGTAATTCAGAATATTAGAACTGTGAAAAGGTTCATTATTGAAATCCCCTGGTGCCACACTCTATGAACCCCCCTGCAAAAGATAGAGTACGTTTACATGCAGCCAATATCCGGGTTATGATCGGGTTACGGTCGGTATTCGGGTTTCTGACAGTGTGTTTACATGCAGCCAGTAACCCTTTTAAAACCCGAATATTCACAATAACCCGGTTCCGCAGGTCCTTGTAAACACCGCCAAAAACCCGGATATGCTCATAACCGGGTTTTTAAAAACCAGTATCCGTGAAAACAACATGTTTCCCAGTTCGGAAGAGATAGCGACCGCATTTCTTTCTGCTTTAGTTTCTTCGTCACTCCAAAAGTGTGGTGCTGTGCCGCGACTCGCCATTTTGCTCCCAACTTGTTGTTTACTTCTGGTGTTCTGGCGCATACAAGACGTCTCGCTACTCAAAAGACCAAGATTCCTTGCGAACAGAGCATGCGCAGAACACACGCTTTGATGGGGATATCCCGGTATGCGTTTACACGACCAAACATTCGGGTTCGAAAAGGGTTACCCTATTTCCTCAGTGGGACCTAACAGTGGTTCTGCGTGGCTTATCTGAAGCCCGATTTGAGCCCTTGGACCAGGTCTCACTCAAGTTCCTGTCACTCAAAACTGCCTTGCTGCTGGCGCTGGCATCAGTCAAGAGGGTGAGTGACCTAACCACCCTCTCAGTGGCTCCCGCATGCCTCAGGATCCGGGAAGATGGTGGATCTGCTGTTATATGCCCCAACCCAGCCTTTGTGGCCAAAAACATTAATACTTCCTTCAAATCCAGGTCAGTTTCATTGGCTGTACTTTTTCCTCCTCCCCATAATTCTGATGAGGAGGCGGCTTCCCACCTTCTCTGCCCGGTGTGCGCGCTCGCACGATATGTGTCACGCACTTCAGGGATTCGCCGCTCACAAAGCCTGTTTGTGGACTACAGAGATTCTTCCCTTGGGCAAGCGCTGTCGACCCAGCGTCTTTCACACTGGCTATGTGACGCCATTTCACTCGCTTACACATCATCAGGGTGGGATCCTCCTGAGACACTCAGGGCTCACTCAGCCAGAGGGATTTCCTCTTCTATGGCGCTCCACAGTGGTGTGTCGATGGAAGGCACTTGTCAGGCTGCTTCATGGGCTTCCCCATGTTCCTTTACTCATTATTTACGAGATGTGTCTTCAGGTTTCATCACTTGTTCAGTGCTTGGACCTCAGCAGGCTGAGTGAAAGCATTATGGCACCACATCAGCCCTACTTGAATGAATTTCATCTTCTTGTGGATGATATTTTAGTGGGAACCCCACTCTTCTCTCTGGCTGCCTCAGCCTTTTAAGCCCTGGGCTGAGGCTGAGCGACCCTCGCTACAAGGAGACATGTTGGGTGTGTCCATTTGGTTGAGCTAACCAGTGTGGCGTAAACCCATCCAGCTGCGCATTATTCCAATAGCAGCTAGCTTAAGGGCTAAGACTAGACGAAATAGAACGTTGGTTACGTATTGTAACCCCAGATTCTATGAGTCTAGTCGCAGCCCTTAAGCCAATGGCCCCACTGGTTCTGTTAGGATCAAGAGCCATCGGAGGCGAACAGTGGAGTCGCTCCACTTAAGTACCCACAAGGGGTGCCCACCATTGGTGGGCATACATTTAAGCTCTTCGTGGTTGGCTGATGCTGAGATCATCCTTCCAATAGCAGCTAGCTTAAGGGCTGCGACTAGACTCATAGAATCTGGGGTTACAATACGTAACCAACGTTCTGTAGGTCACACAATCATGGAGAAGACTGCTAGCCTGACAGTTGTCCAAAAGACAACTATTGACACCTTGCACAAGGAGGGCAAGACACAAAAATCCATTGCTAAAGATGCTGGCTGTTGGCTGAGGAAAATAATCTAACAATCATCAATTAAAATGCGGACATAAACGATTATGAATCTTTGAAGAAGCACACTACATTCAACTATAGCGGCTAGACGCTAGCATTAGCCACTAGCTTGCACCGTCTCTAAGCGGTTATTAAGTGTATTCTCACGCGTCTGCTCGGTTAGGGAACCTCTGGGTCAATGTTCTGCTCTAAACCTTGCATTTAGCTTTGTGACTTATTATTTTGAGATGAGTGAAACTAGAGAATGCATGAGATGAGGATGCATCATGAATTTAGCTTAATATGAAAGATTTTTTCTCTGGACAACAAATAATTTCTGGTAGCCACCTCTAGATAATATTTAAATTATTTTATATTAATTATAAATATATAATTAAATGAAAGTGCATGTGGGACATTTGAGACATGTATCTCTAGCTCTCAACTTAATTGGTTATCTAATATTCTGAGATACTGAATTTGAGACTTTTTTTTAGTTGTGAGTTATAATCATCAAAATTAACTAAACAAATAGTTTAAATATATCAGCCTGTTTGTAATGAATGAGTCTAACTTACAAGTTTCACTTTTTGAACGGAATAACTGAACCAAATCAACTTTGTCATGATATTCTAATTTTATGACCAACACCTGTATAACGTGAAAAGCTTCATCGCATCACCTCAGCTTACCCTAACCCCAACATCCTTAGGACCTAGGGCTGCTCGATTATGGCAAAAATAATAATCACGATTATGTTGACTGAAATTGAGATCACGATTATTTAGGACGATTTTTCAATTTATGTTGATTTTATTTGTTTTTATTCAGTCATAAAACTGCTCAGGGCACAATCAGGACAAAAATAAGAAACAAGATGATCACTAAAAGAACTCCTGATTCCCAGTATAGAAAGACCAATATACTTATAGCTCATAGTCTATGACCCAAGGGCTATAGACCTTGAGTCTAACCAGTACAGAACCAAATACCAATATCTTGCAAATACTGACAGCAAGAATTATACAGTGGCATTTATAACAAATAAATGCAAATAAACTGATGTTCACAAAATGTTGCATAACATTTATTGAGTCGTGTCAAGGTGCTGTAGGACTGTGTCCTCAGAGAGATTAGTTATCAGCGTGAGGAACTTATTTCTACCTTATTTATAAACTATTTATTTACAGGCCCATCAGTTAATGTAATAATTGTCCCGACCACAGCTGCACCCCCCACCCCGGTCTCACAGCAATCGGGGCAAGCTGCACGTGTGTTTAGCACGCTGCACGCGCACATTTAGCTGTTTTTAGCTGCTCAGGAGTCCGAAGGTGCGGTGTGTGTGTCACTCACTCTGGTTAATCCAACAGGGAGCCGGCTCCGAGAGCTGTCTTTAGCGACCGACACATCACTGCATCATTCCCTTTCCTAATGTTGTGAAGAACGGTCCGGAGCACAGGCGGAGTGTTTAGCTAACCTGCAGGAAATGTCGACGACAGTTATCCAGAAAGTAGCTAAGGGTCACCAGAGATGTTTATCAGGTGTTCGCTAGGTACTTTTAGGATTAAAAAGTCAAGAAGGGGGTCTGAAAAGCTGCTAGAAATAGCGTCAAAGTCGCTAAATTAGCAACACTGTGGAGGAGCGCTTCATTTGAAACTCAGGGCAGCGCAAGCGGGAGGAGCAAATAATCGGCTTGTTATGTTTTTTATAATCGTTCAAAACTCAGATCGTAATCGTGATTAAAATTCGATTAATTGAGCAGCCCTATTAGGACCGGACACATACATTTTAATTGATTGGTTTATTTTTAATTGACACATTCAAACTGTTGAAAACTACTTTTACAAAAGATTAATAAAACATTTGAGAATTGGCAATGGCTCAGTTTTAAAGAGCTGTAGATTGAAAATCTTATTTTGTTTGGAGAATCTTTGTTTTACGTGTTTCACAAGACAATTCCTTTCAAACAATTATTGCCCTAAACTTAATGTGACAGTGTGTATTTTTTTCCTGACAATAGGGGGCAGTAGATGCCTAAATCATTGCAAGCAAGCATTATTTTTATGTTCAAGTACGACCTTACCAACAGATGGACATTAGGGTCAAAAATCCCTGGGAGCGAAACCTCCAGCAAAATAACAAGATTCCCTTTCATCACTTGCAATGAGTGAAATGGTAAATGTGTAAAAGAACAATGTTTATTAATGCTGAAAGTTTTGTAACTGTTTGTTACGAATCAGTTAATGCATTCTGTCCTCGTGGGCTTCCTTAGAAGGAAACATGGCATCTAATATGGCGTTGCCCTGGGGACTTAGACCCGCTCCCATATATTTTAGACCCAATATTATGGTTATTTGTTATGAAACCACCAATATTTTTCAACAACTGAGTATCTTTTAATTCATTTACAACAACATTTCACTTCCAGAGATTAATGGTAAAAACTACACATTGTCACTTTAAGGTATAGTTACAGCAAATACTTTCAGTTTGTACCCTTGTTGATTTTGGAAGCTTGAACGTTGTGTACTAATTATTATTATTATTTTTTTCATTCTTATTTTCCAGGATTAAACTTCTCATGTGTTGCTGAGTATTTAGAGAATCATCACAAATCCTTGAACATATAACAATTTTAATGGGATTATTTCAGTTTTAGTCATTGATAGAGCTAGGAGGTATAGGTTTGTTTTAATTTTCACCGTTTGAGAAAGTGTGCAGTGCAGGCTGGAGTTGAGGAAACCCGAAAATAGTCATTCTAAAACTTATTTTCCTCATTCAGTGAAAAAGAGAAACCTTTTATCAAAGACATGGACCCATCTGGTAGTGTGTTGGGTCTGGATGGCCAGGGTAACATGGTTTTTACCGTGGTCAAACCAGTTATGAGCATTTTTCAGGTGTCTTCAGAGCAAGGCAGCGGCGTATCACACGGGGACATGGGAATGCAGGGTTTATCTGAAAATGCATTAGTCCCCTCTCAGGGACAGTGTCAGGCTCCGTTAGACCAGAACCAAATAGAAATGCACAACATTCAACCTCAGATGCAGAGTTCTGCACCGCTCCAGACTGAGAACGTGCCTCCACATCAGGAGCTGCTGCCACACTTGAGCACAAATTCTGAATCCACCACAGAGATTCCATTTGCAGAGGTGTCGTCTCTCCTGGATCCCAACATGAAGGGATCCAAGGCTCGTGAGTGGGCAGATGTTAGTTGATTAAAATCCAAGAGAATAAAAACCTAAATGCTAATTTATTTGATCCTGTCTGATGTTATATTCAGGGAAATATCTAATCTCATATGATGAGATTAAAAGACGCCTTCAGGCCCCAGAGAAGATGTCCCTGCGATCCCTGGCAGCATACACTCGTGTCAGCAGAGGCCCAGCCAGCAAGAAAACTCTCCAGGAGTCACTGAATGTCCTCGGCCTCTCGCCAGGCACAACTACCTCTGTATCCTCATCGTTCTCCAAACTCACAGAAGGTGACAGTTGTTTGTGTGTGCAGAATAAGGCATGCATTTAGTAATGTGACTCATTGATTTTGGACACTTTGTGGCTTGTTTCATTCATTTTTCAGGTGACACCAGAGCTCTGTGTGAAGATATGAAAGATTTTGCACATGACTATGTTGACTACGGCAACATGGCCAAGCAGCTCATCCCTGACATAAATACAGTTCAACACTGGTCCAAAATCATAGAAACAAAGTATGAATGGCTTTATAATGCTGTGCTATGAAAACTTTTTTTTTTTCCTTTTTTTGTCACACATGTGAAAATAATCATTTAATTAAGAAAAATGCCGTCTAAACTAACCTTGTTCTATGTGGAAAAAGGTATTTGACCAATAAATATAATAGCTTGCTGCCACGCCCTTGGTGCGAACAACTGCATTTCAGCTTTAGTGATAATTGGTAGAGTCTCTTATATTATGCAGGAATTTACTTCCTCCTTTTTTCCAAGAATTTTTCAAATTCAGTCATGTTAGAGGTTTTTCAGCACAATCGTTCAAAGGTTGGACATTATTATGCTGGATCATTTACAGTAAGTGGTCCAGGCCCTGAGGTACATAGCTGCCCCAGACCATCACACTACCACCAACATTGTTAGTATTATGTTTTTTTTCTAACATGCAGTTGTAGATTTGCACCAGGTTTAACAGTTTGTTTACCTTCCAAGAAAGTTCTCATAAGTTTGCAGAACATTTTCCCAAAAGGATTTTGGACCCTTCAGGGGTATTTTTTATGACAGGTCAGGTATTTATATTGTTTTGGGCTGTAGAGGTTTGGGCCTTGGAATCCTCTTGTATATGTCGTTTTTGTCTTGCATCTTTTTTTTACTGTTGGATCAGGAACTCTAACCATAGCTAAGTGAAGCCTGCAGGGCTGTAGATAATGATTCTAGGTTGTTTTGTTCTTGAAATCCTTCCGAACAGGACAAATGTTGCTTTTTGAGCTTGTTTTTTTTTTTTTTTTGCCTAATTCATGTTGTCAGACAAGTTCTCGAATTTATTTTATCAGTTCCTTAGGTCTGGTAGTAATCAGGCCTGGGTATGGCTATAGAAATTAAACCCAGTTTGTAAAAATAATTAAGTTAATCACAGTTTATTCATTATTTAACAAGGGAAGACAATTACTTTTCCACTCAGGACAAGCTTGGTTTGGATAACATTTTTCACTTGATTGACAAAATCCTAGTTTAAAGATGTGGATCACTCGTTTAATCAATACATTTGCAGTGGTCTCTAGTAGGAATAAATGTCTTTTAAGTCATACCCTGGGGAAACAAAGCTCTGGTGCACAAGTTTAAGGAAGCAGAAGTGAGCCAGATCAGAGTTGAGCTTCTAATGATTTGGAGGCTCATTTCCTAATATTTGGACATCTCATCTCTGATTGGCTAGCAGCAACATGACTCTACCACTGACTCTGCTTGCTCTGCAACTTTGTTGTTTTATCTCCACAAATACATAAGCCTGGAGGAGTTCTGCCATGTGGTGGAGTTGCTAATGCTAACAGTTAGCTTCTACTAGTCCAGATGATCTCTGTGGTTTCCTGGAGGCTAAAACCAGCTACAGCCTTCCCTATTGTGAGTCAAGATGGGTGAGTCCATGAATGATAAATGACAGTGTGATGTAGATCTGTCGGGCTTTTGAAATCCTAGAGTTTGACCATCTATTTTCTACCAGACGTTAATGCAGAAGATAGGTGTAAGAGACTGTTTTCATATTCAGCTTACATGAAAAACCGATTACAATCAGAAATAAGATTTTAAAAATGGTTTTCAGTGTTCCACACCTTTAAAAACTGTCCTGTATTTACTTTTATTATATTTGTCTGAATGTGTTTTTCTGATCTGAAACATGAAAGTGTGACTATAAAGAAAAAGCTGAAGAAGAAGTAAAGGGTCGAATAGATTTTCAAATCACTATATTTAACTTGTCAATCACAATAATATCTGCTTCAGAGTAACACTTTCCCATCTTCTCACAGGAACCACCTTGAGGATATGCGAAAATGTTTCAAGGACCCAATTAACAGCGGTGCATTTGACAATGTAACTCACGGTCTTGGTCTTGGAATGTTGGACGTAGCCATGGACATGATTGTTATGGTGATCGATCAGCAGATTCACATCCTGTCTGGTGCAGCAGCATCAGATCCAGCTGACTCGGGTCTGCCCATGCGTCGCATCCGCAGGCGTCACCGCAAGATCCGCCCTTGTGACGAGAAGTCTCATAAATTGCCTGGAGGCGTGAAAGATCATGGCAAGATCATAATGAAAAGCAAGGATCGTGCCAGAGTCAAGAAGAAGATAACACAAGAGTCTGGATCCTCTGGTTCCATCGAGACCCAGACCGAGCTGGATAAACCAGATAATGTAGAGAATAATGTCCTCACGTTGGTCTCTGTAGGTTATGATGCTGTTTCTACTGGTCTGAGTGCAGCGGGAGCTGTTTGACAACTGCTCAAATGAGTATTACACCAGTTCTGCTGCAGAGAAGATGATCAGGTCACATTCTAAAGCAACAACCCTTTCAAATGGCAAGATGCTGCTTCACTTTGGTAAAGAATTTCCTTTCAGCCATTCAGACATTGTTCATATTTGTGTCATTGTTCTTTATGGGTTAATTCCTTTAACCCGTAAAAGTGTCAGAACCAGCTTAGTTTTGCTGTTTGAC